GAAACAGAAATCTCTAACAGCGAGAGAGAAGAAACGTGACATGAGTATCCATGTGCTACTGGCAGACAGTGTGCTGGAAAATAATAAGGTTTCCACAGGGATTTTTGAAAGCACCTAAGCTCACTGTGTGGGGAGAAAAGAAACTCAAGGAGATTGTTTGGTTGGACATAGAGAATTGAGCAGTCAGCTTTGTCAGAAACGTTGCACCTCGTGCATCAACTTAATCACCAATGTAATCATCTTAAAAATTAAATATTTTCCTTCTTGAGAGGACTGGGTTGGTAAAACCATTCATGAAGCATAATAATGAAAGCCAACCGTTCTTACATTAGGACGTGCTTGTCTGAGTGAATGTAAAAGGCTAAATGGCCTTCATAATACAAAGTTCAAAATATTGTTGAATGTTATAGCAGCTAATATAATCACTGAATTTGTATCTGCAGACACAAATTCATTAAACACAACCAAGACATTTTAAAAGCAGAAAAGTCCTGTCCTTAAGGCTGATTTGAGAAATGTCGGACACAACAAACATGATTTTTCTGTTCTGAAACATGCGAGCAGACCAACACACATAGTGTCTGTAACAACAATTTTATTTTCATGCAATGTAACATTTTTTTAACAGAAAAGGTGTTGTAAGGATCTTTCTTTCTTATGCCATAATGATTTCTCTTGCTTATGTTCAGAAATATTATTCATGATCTTGTCTGATCAGATCAATGATAAAATATGGCCTAGTATGAAATCATTCACTTATCCAAACAAATATATCCACCAGAGCCAAACTTAATTAGTTATTATATTACTGAACTCTGTGGATTAAAGTAGATTACTGTAATACACAAGCTGTGAAATATAAAGAGGAATACAGAACTCAGACTGTGGAAGAGGGTCTTCTCCATGGTGAGCATGTGATTAAATTGTAATTAAACTGTGGTGGAAATAAACCTTTTTTTCTCCAAATCACTGATGTGGTTAAGCCGGTGTAAGAGCAGTTTTTTTTATAAAGTTCTTTGCTTAGCACATTTCTCCACTGATCACAGAGTCTGTGTGGCACTGCACCTCCTGTCTCACTGTGTGTGGCACTGCACCTCCTTTATCATTGTGTGTGGCACTGGACCTTCTTTATCACTATGTGTGGCACTGGACCTACTTCATCGCTGTGTGTGTGGCACTGCACCTCCTGTCTCACTGTGTGTGGCACTGCACCTCCTTTATCATTGTGTGTGGCACTGGACCTACTTTATCACTATGTGTGGCACTGGACCTACTTCATCGCTGTGTGTGTGGCACTGCACCTCCTGTCTCACTGTGTGTGGCACTGCACCTCCTTTATCATTGTGTGTGGCACTGGACCTACTTTATCACTGTGTGTGTGGCACTGCACCTCCTTTATCACTGTGTGTGTGGCACTGCACCTCCTTTATCACTGTGTGTGTGTGTGTGTGTGTGTGTGTGTGTGTGTGTGTGTGTGTGTGTGTGTGTGTGTGTGTGTGTGTGTTTGTCAGTGGGATCCTGTTGATGCAGGTACAGAACTTGAGCTGGACTTTTTCTTTTTTTTTGGGGGGTGGCTGGGGTCTGCCAGCACTCTGTGAAAGTGTTTTTTTTTTTTTTTTTTTTTAAATGAGCAGTGGTGGTCAGTGTGCGGTTGGTTCACAAACCTGCAGGCACCCGGCTGCCCAGTAGAGGTCACTAGAGAGCAATAAAGACTTATCACTCAGCTGAACCCCTATTGCCCATGAGTGAGAATGAGGCAATTGTTATCTGGCCCAGGGAGACCTTTGTCTTTGGTCAGTAATGGCACAGATGGGATACCCAGAGCTGCACCAGAAACCTGTGTTTTTAACCCAACAGCCACCCATAGGCCCAATGAACAGTTATACTTCACCCAGACTAAGTCATGATTACTCTAAAGACTCATGCTAATCTTCACCTGCAGTCAGCCTGGGCTGACAACCAAGCATCACTAACGTCAAAAAGTAATGGAGCTCACAACTCACAATCGGAGTGAGAGGCAGACTCAGCCCTGCTGAAGAGAAGGATGTTTTTGTATGAAGAGTCACAGGCAGACAGTGTGAAACATCCATACTTTTTTTTACTCTGGTCTCTAGAAAGTTTTATGACGGTAAATGAACGCAAATTAACAGGTGGTATCAGACACATTAATGAATAATAAAAATAAATCTTGATGACAGCAGAAATTCAAGAAACATGCTCCAACTGAATCCATCAACAAATAATTAACAGCTGATACCAAATATGCCAACTCTTACTCTTTCCTGTTACAGAGTACAAACATTCTTAAAAATATATACTGCCCTCTACTGGGCTGGAGTTTGGAGCAGAGTGGCTAGAACACCAAATCATGACCTTACTTCCTGTTTCATAAAGCAAGAGTTCCACATTTTTTTAAACAAAATTAACAGTAAAAATCCTGATTACAAAAATGGATGCATAAGTCTTAAGAAAATCCATAACCTGCAAGCACCCTAAACAAAATAACGAAATACCAATTACACAAACCTCACACAAGCACACATACACAGAACCAAGAACTATCACCAAAGTACTCTTCAGACTTACGCAGCTACACTTTTGTATTTCTGTCACGTGACCTTAAATGCAACTGTGCCTGTGTTCCTCAGTCATGTGACTTTAACAGGCAATGCCAAACACAATGGATTAATGGTAATCAATCATGATTTAAAAAATGAAAGTTTAAAGTAAAAGCATTATTTTTAAAGTTTGTATTAAATAAACAACCTGCATGAAAGAACATTTTACTTCCTGTTTAAGACGACAAACATTCCAAAGAAAGACACACCTCACTACAAAATATACGATACAGTGGATCAGTGTGCTGTCGCCATTTTCAAAAACAAATAAAATGCAGTCCCTGCACTTTTACTCATTGGCATTGGAGGACATTTTGAATGAAATTTTATGAAATGGACATTTACAGTCTCAATGACACTGAAGAGAAAGACAGACATTAGAAAAAGAGCGTGTGACACAGGTAGGGAAGGATGATGCACAGTGGATGAGAGGAGAACAAGACATGACATCACAAAGGAATAAGTAAATCAAAAACTAATGGTTCCTTTTTTACCCCTTTTATAAGCAGGAAGGTTACACAATTCAATTCACAAACATAATCAAATCTGAAACCGAAAACAGGAGCAGCACAGTTCAATACAACACAAACAGAAAAGGCAAAGACTCACTTTTAGCCTGGAAGGCTGTGCTTTAACAGCTTGGCTGATTGAAGACAATGTCTGACACCAGCATTAATTACAAATCTTCCACAGGTGAGCCTGCCTGTTCACGAGGCCGTTGCTGTTTGAGCTCCTGCAGTCTCTCCAGGCAGCGGAAGGGAACAGGAACTGACAGCGGTCCAACAGGAGGAGCAGAAGAACTTGTCCCCCTCTCAACCTCTCCCAGTACCACAACGTGTGAGCATTAGGGGACAACCAGTGTTAACCACTTTCATTCATTCATTCATTCATTCATTCATTCATTCATTGTCAGTCAATCAGTCAGTCAGTCAGGCATTCATCTTTCAAACTCTAATTTCAAACAAATGCATATATATTACTATCAGAATGATAAAATCAGGTCTTCTCTTCTGTGTACAATCCATAAAGGTTGCCTTGGTGGAATTTGCTATCAAAGAGACTTTTTAAAGAACAAATTGCAGATAAACACTTTTAGTTGTTGGATGGAATCCAAAAAAACTCTGTGACTTCCACCTACATTAAAATATTTTGCAATGCTAATGTTTCTGTTGTTCGGGAGTTGAATGTGATGTGTAAGTAATTTGGGTTTTTCCTACTGAGCACAAACTAAATTTGTGAGTAAATTCAGCAAATACCTCTAAATATCAAGATTAATTACATTCCTTTAAGGTACATTTTTCAGCTAACCTTTAAGAACCAAGATCCTCTGAAATCCACAAAATTCATAGAAATGTACTCATTATTAGCCAAGATTATTTGTCAGGAATAATCTGAAAAACTCATCTTTCATCTGTCAGAAATGGTTTATATATATTCATTTATTGTCAGTGTAATGAATGTGGTGTAGACCGGAACATGCTTTTATTGGGAGGTTGAATGTGTATTGGCTTAAATGCAAGTGGTTTTTCTGTACAGTTTTTGAAACCAAGCCAAGCCAACATGTCAAAGTGAACTCCGACTACATTCATGTGGTACTAGAGTTAAGATAATTGCACTAAACCAATTTTAATTAATTCTAAACCTAAATGAATCCTAATTAAATGGAGACTAAATATAACATTGCATCTGAACTTGTTGTAAGGATTCACTGATTGCTGTGCTAAAATAAGCAACCAGCATTCTCAGAGGTCAAAAAAGTGGACATAACATATTTTACAGAGAAACAAATTATTGGTTACATGATATTTGGAAAAAAAATCCTAAAGAGAAATTTAATTTGGGTTTCTACCTTTTTGTTTTTTGTAAAAGGCAAAACAAAGACTTTAAATGACATTGTTTCATTTACAAGGTGAGCTCTAATGAAAATCTATACGCAACATGAATACAGCTGACAGAATTGTATTGGGAGTAAGAGTATTGGGGGGAATGACACAAGACTACCTGTGCTGAATCAAGACAATGTAAAGCGCTTAATTAATGAGGTATAATTAAAAACAAGGCCCCCTTTTGTACACCATGGGTGGAGTAACTAACAAGGTGACCGTGTTACAATGGGGTTCAATGGAAAACTGTGTCTTTGATAACTATGGGGCTATGTAGAGGAAATAATATTTTGGATTTAAAATATTTGCAAATATTTTGATATTTTTCTTAAGTTATACACATAACACTTTTGTAGTAATTTGCCAAGAATGCCTGGGTCGTAAATGAAACATTCTGACAATAAGTCAATGTCCACATAATAATAACTATTAATAAAAGACTCATTATACACAGTGTATATTTATGAGCCATGCTTGGTTTGGGAGATTCCAAACCTAT